TGAACATAACACACTTCTACCACACTATGTTCTACATGTTCTATGTTCTACATAGGCATAGAATGACATGCTACCCCTAAACATTTAGATGCACTCTAACAGTCAGTTTGCTGAAATAAGGTAACATTTTTATTTAACTACAAGAAATAAAAATCTATTTGGAAATAATGCTGATCATAAATAAATGTAAGTAATAAACCATAAGGGAGCACAACCTATCAATCCTATTTAAGCGTCACGGTTTTAAAATTACAACCCCAGGCCATATGCGGACCAAGAGAGAACTGAGATTTACTCAAAACAGATTGACTAATGCACCAGATGTACACTTACAGTAACAGGGTGTCTTTTTTTTTTTTATAGAATACAAATAAAACTGTCTTAAAGCAGGGAGGAAAATCAAGTTGATTGTAAGAAATTGATAAAAAAAAAAAAAAATGTTATTAATGTTTGGTTGTGAACACATAATTGAACCTTGTTCACCCTCCCAGATCTTTCAAGTATCAACAACCTTCTCTGCACCTTATTTACAGGCTCAGGTATTTGACTTTAATAGGTATTTGACTTTATTTACAGGCTCAGTTATTTGACTTTATTAGTATTATACTCTGGGTCTTAGAATTTTGGCTCAAAAGCTCAGGATTCTGGAAAATGTATAATGCTTGTGATGAAGAAAGGCAACAAGTATTTCGGGGGCCCTGCCTATAAACCCCTGCTATAATATTTTCTGGTGGTTTGTGTTGGAGAAAAAGCAAATATGTACTCAGGTTTATTTGCATCACATTTGTCTATTTAGAGTTGATCCTAAAGCATCTACTTCCTTTTCCATGTCAGTTCGAAGGGGCTACCTTTTGATATTGTTTTATCTGTCTTTTTCCTTAAACTGTTATTTATTTCCATGAAAGGTATCTAAATGTATACAATCTCACAATCTCAAAGCTCCACTCCTGGAAAAAACTGCATTTGAGTAAATGCCCTGCAGAGCAGCTCATTAAATGCTATTTGCACTGTTATTTTGGGACATAAATCAAATAAAGTAAAACTAGTAAAACAACAAAAATGTCAAATTCTAAATGTCTCTATAGCTTATACAAATTAAAATGAAAGTGTTTACATACAAGCAATTTTCTTGTAACTCTGAAGAGACTTACCTCACTATTACAACCTCTGCCAGATATTAATGTCATAAACCGGGACAGATGGACCGAGTATTCATCGTGAGTCGGACAATGGGAAGTTTCAAAACGTTTAATAACAGAAAAATAATAAAACAGAACAGAACAGAACAGAAACACGGGCTGCTAAGGATTAGCAGACCACAGCATCCGCAGGGGGCCGGGGTGCAACCCATCACTGGCACTCTGGATGTGGGAGAAACATGGGTAAGTGACCATGACCATCTGACAGGAGATGATTATTAGAGTGAGTTACTACCTGGTTTAACAGTTCAGTCCATCCTCTCTGAGTAAGGCAGGATCCAGCCGATGGACTGCCAAACGCGATGCAGCCCAGAGCCTTCCAGAGTGTCCCTGATGCAGCAACCCCAGTGAGCAGGCAGGAGACTGATCCAGGTCAGAGAAATAGTTCAGAACCGGACAGTTCCGAGATCCAGGAGTCTGTAGCCCGACCATGGGTTCCAATCTGAACAGGAATAGAGAGATCCAGGGTTCAAGGAATTATTGGGAGCATGAAGGCAGGTTCAGAGTTCTATGAGTCAGGCAGCATGCTCAGAGAGACAGGCGCCGATGCAGACAGGCAGGCTCAGTGGTAGAGGGGGACATAGACAAGACATGGTATCAGGATAAATGCTGAACTTTAAACTGGTCTCCACCTTGGAGCTAGGCTTACAGGAATTAAAACTGACCTTCAATGTGTTCCGAGCCAAAACCCTGAGGGCTCCCCTGAGAAAGACCAGAACCCGTGAAGCTCCTGCATGCCAAGCCAAAACCCTGTGGGCTCAGTGGAGAAGAGCAGGGACACAACCAGGAGACAGGAGACAAACACCAAACCCTCTGAAAGCACTGGCCTCCAAGACTCAGGACATGAACAAGGAACTTAACAAAACTCATGAAACAAACATAAATAACTGAAACAACAGCATAACACAAATAAACAAAGAATAGAAGAATAATGATCTGGCCCCGATAGCTGGGTTGAGCTGTGTATACAGCAGAGAAAGCAGGTGAATAAGAGCAATGATAGTTAGAGAGCGGGGAGGCAACGGCAGGTGAATGAAGTGTGTAATTAGATCCGCTAAAGGGGCTACAATCATAACAATTAAACTGGATTGCCCAAGTTCTTTATGATTAACAGACTAATTAGCCTGTTCTAATAGCCAAACGACCCCAAAGAATCCCCTTTACATAGACATGTGCCAGTATCAGGTTTTGCAGGCCAAAACGACCTCAGCGACTCCCCATAACTAAGGGGTGGACCTGTTTTTTCGGTTCAATTTGCATGTTTTCTAAGTCATAACAGGGCTTTTGTTTGGGCCACTCTATAAGCCCGATGATACTCCAGACATTTTGAATTGAGAAAGCTTTCTGGATGGGAAGCGAAACGTCTTCAAATTTTGAAAACAATGTCCAGTGGTTTGTTTCTTAATTTTCTTGTAAATAAGAAAGGGATTTCATTCACAGAGAAACATGCCTCTCTCAAGATAGATTAAACTCAGCGAGGAAGAAGCCATTACTGTACTCCAGAAGTTATACTAGACTATTTCAAAATAATTCACAGTCTTTTAAAAGATTACCAAGGGCTGCATCTTGCGGTGTTGACCACTGGCCAGACCAAACAAATCTGGACTTGTTTGATGACGCCAATAATTGTCACCCTTAATCTCTGAAGACATATTCTGTAGTCTGATTAAACATAAAACGAGTTAGTTTGTGAGCCTGAAAGCTCTAACTCAGCTATGAAGTACAAAGGCTCTATAGTATCAACATTATTTGTGGATGTTTTGAATAAATGGGAGACTAGAGCATTGCAAAGCAGATAGAATCTTGAGAAAAGACCAATATATGAAAATATTGAGGGAACATCTGTAAACATCAGCTGGGAAGCTAAAGCTTGGGTACAGATTAGTCTTAAAAGGTAGAATCACTCAAAGCAAAGCAGCAAATTGGATTAAGGACGATTACTTCAATGTTTTGGATTGGCCACCGCAAAGCTTTGATTTCAGGCCCGAAGAGAGAGAATTTAAAGGCAGAAACAAGTTACAGCAGATGATTTTCAGAAAGCACAAAATATTTGAAAGCATTCTTCTAAATACTAAAGAAATGCATGTTAACTTTTTTATTTTTTATTGTTAAAAATATATGCATCACTCTAACTTGATAGAAAGTCTTTTGGCCATCCTGCTGACCTAAAACAGGGAAGGTTCAATCTGACTGAATCTCAGACAGAGGTAAAAAGCTATTTGCATTATATGCAAATTTACACATTGTGTCCTTGGCTTTATCTGTAACATAAGTGTCATGATTAGGTAGTGGATGGATGGCCCAAAATACAGAGGCAGGGCGGCAGAGTTGATTTTCTTTTGGGTTTAATATGAGGTTAACAGAAAAACAGAGGCAGGAAATCAAAAAATCCAAACAAAAACCAGGATTCCAAATATCCAAAATCCCCAAAATCAAAACATGAAAACAAAGTCAAAACAAACCAGAAACAATTGAGACATCAGGGGGGAATTCAATCTAGGAGAGGAAGGCTCAGAGAGACAGAGTTGGAGGAAGTTAGATGAGGACCCAGCAAGGAAGAACTGAACAGAGAGAGTATTTATAGGAGACTGAAACAAAGAGAGGGCTAATGAGCAGACAGGGAGCAGGTGTGCACAGAGCAGGAGAGGAAAAGCGCTAGGGAAAAAGGAGAACACAAGAGGGCAGCAGAGGGCAACAAATAAAAACCTTGAAAACTGAAAATAACCAGAAAACAAAACAAAATAAGAATTAAACCACTAAGACTATTAAACATGGAGCAAAGTAAAACTGAATACTCAAAAGAAAAGCATAACAGAGCCAAGACTGAAAAAGTAACCAAGAATTAACCAGAGAACACAACAAAATAAAAATAAAACTACTAACACTAGAAAACAAGGAGTAAAGCAAAACTGAACACTAAAAAGAAAATATAACAGAACCAAGACTGAGACAGTGGCTGAGAAAAACCCAAGGAACACAACAAAATAAGAATTAAACCATAAAATCCTATAAAACAAAGAGCAAAGCAAAACTGAATATCAAAAGAAAAACATAACAGAAAGAGAAACATAACAATAAGCTTTTGTAGGAATATTTGTGATTATTTTTTTTACATTTTAAATTAAACTGATTCCGTCATATTTTGACGTAAGCACGTTGAGACATTGAAACGTTGTATTTTAACTCAACTTTATTTTACCATGAGAACCACAGTGGCCAGTTCCAACAGCAGATACACATTAAATCATAGCTCTGAAAATGTCAACGGTATATACTTCCTGAAAGAATGACTCATGTCTTTTTTTTTTCTTTTTTGTATCCTACTTGTTAAGGATCTCCTGCCATGGCTGTGACTGGCTGCTTCGTCATCCCCCTGCCACACCCTGCTGAGGAGAAAGGACAACCACCTGACCTTCAAGCTCAGCCCAACCTCATTTTCCCTCAGAGGAATCCATAAAACCAAACCTATAATGGGGTCCCTTATGATCTTGGAGATTTTACTCCACTGATTACCTAAATCTGCTTCCATAAATAACAAAATACAACTAATTACTGACAATATTCCTCCTTATTTGTTGTGTGATGTTTAGTGTGAGTTTGTCCTATAAACTGACTCATCAAAACAATGAAAAAAATTAGGAAAATCTAAACCATATGAGATGCGCAGAGAGGAAGGGGATGTGGCCCCTCTGCCCACCTTGTGGTCACATGGTGAACTGTAGCTGAGAGTGATGCGGAGGAGAGAGAGAGACAGAGAGAGAGAGAGAAGGAGAGAGCAAAAAGGGAGGGGAGTTTAAACTAAGTGCTATGTTTTGGGACAGGCTAATCTGCTAGCGAGCAGTGTGAGGATCGGAGCGTATTGTGTGAGCCAGTGTGCGGGGGAAAGATAAGGGAGCCAGCCAGCCAGCCAGCCCGACGCACCGCCTGCCTGCCTGCCTTGCTGCCTGCCTTTAATGTGCTGACTCTGGGGAGATTTTAAAAGACAGCGCATTGACTCCTCAGACGCGTGTTTGTGCGTGGAGAAACGCACTCAAACGCCTCCAACAAAACAGCCACATCCAGCCTGAAGTCCATCAGCAGACAGAGGAGCGAAAGAACAACATCAAAAACACTGAGAAACAGGATTGAAATATCACAGCTCCCCTATCAGAAATTAAAGAGGATTTTTTTTCAATATATATATCCTCATTTTTTTCCTCCCAATTGATTTAATTTTTTTTTTCCTTTTCCCGGGACAGAGTGAGTGAAGAAAACAGGAGGGAGCAGGAAAAACTGAAGAGAATCCCCCCCTCCCAAAAAAAAAAAAAAAAAGATTTAATCAAAGGACAGATCTAGAACCTCATCGCGCAACATGTTTGAAATAAGCCGAACACTCAACGCTGCTTTGTTGAGCAACGAGGTAAAGATATCTGGATTTCTTTTTTTGTTTGTTTGTTTGTTTG